GTTAAAAATGCAATGGTTTATTTTGCAGTCGGTGGCAGCGCACCCGCATCTTTCCTTTAGCGCCCTGTACGCTTCGGAAGAGGATGGCTTTATTACGAATGCCGAGTATGCAGAACGTTCGCTCTCCGCAGAGGCACGGCGCTCAGCAGAAGAGTTGGAGAAGTCAAAGGAAGCGAATAGCAGCAACTGCACTCGAGCGGGCGGTGATCACGTAACACCGAAAACTAGTGAACTAACCTACAAAATATTCGTGAAAGTTCTGATGCGTGACTCACGCCAAGTGGTTAAAAATAAATTAAGAGAGCTCAAAGAAAGTCACAATGGCAGCGGTGCAGATATTTCTTACTTTTTCGTTGTGTTAAAGAAGATCAACAAATTGCGGTTGGTGAATGAATCGCAGGAGGGCCAAGTGATGCACGATGCCATTAGGGAAATCGTCACTGAGAAACACGACAATTCAGAGGATGCGACAGCTTGGCTCAATAAAATGTTTGATCGCATATTCTGTCTGGCGCTCAAAGCGAATTCCGATGAAGACATAGACGGCTTGGTGGACAGCTTCACGATCGAGGAGGAAATCAGTCAACACTTCAACGTCTTCATACAATTTTGGCTAAATTACACGCCCACAAAAAACACCAAGGACAGCACAGTTGATGCAACAGCAGAAACGGATCGTGTGCCAAATGAAACGCTATGTGTGGTTGACATCCCTAATTTGCCTTTGAACACAACGAATATCACGCACAGCATTTTCGCAGAAATAGTCATACGCGATTCGCAAAAAGTAGCTCAGAGAAAGTTAGATGAACTGAAGTCGCTGGAATCGGAGCAGTACAAATGGTATATTGCCGATTTGACGAAAATACTCGAGCACATTGACAACCGCTTATATGACAATACAACGGAGGATGGTGAACTTATTTACAAGTCGCTGAAGAGCATCAATGAAATGAACGGCGAAGATGACTCAACATGGCTGGATCACATCGTTGATCGCATCTTCTGCATAGCAAAAGAAGTGCGCATGGAAAGCGAAATGAAGAGTGCAGCTGAGAGTATTTCGATAGAGGAAACTATTGAAGGGCACTTTGAAATTTTCAAACAATTGTGGTTGAATTGTAAAAATTTGTATATTCATAGAGGCGAAAGCATATACAAGCTTTGTAAGAGTCAGCGAAAGTACTACGATGAGTAGATGGGCATGTACGTAGGTGAAGTTTCCTAATAGATTTTGGTTTATGAAATTTCCGGTTAAAATAGAAAAACCTTAAAAATCACTAAAACATGTCTAGCTTTGTAAAGTAACTAAATACATGCATATACATACATTAGCGTGGGCCGAAAATTCGCTTTCATAATATGGTTCATTATGTTCTAAAATAAATATGTGCGAAATGAAGAT